AGTGTATCTATTAGGAACCGCATCCATTGAGTAGTAGCAATCTTGAGCAATAGAAAGGTTTATCACCTTCCTTTCCCATGAATGAAATCCACAGGGGGGCAGATCAGGATTTGGTCACTCCCTGACCATCTCTCTGCTCTGCTGGCCTTGGTGTGTGGCTTCTGTCCTCACAGTTGCCTCACGGTCTGTGATGGTTTCCAGAGTTCCGGCTATCTCAACCACGTTCCAGGAATAAAGGATAAAGGAACATAGGCTGATTGTTGTTACTCCGTTAATGAGCCCTCCATGAAGTCCTGGCCAACAGAGTCCTCTTACACATTAGGGTTTCTTGGCTGTGAGAAGAAACTCAGAGTTTACAGCAGGCCTATTTCCCAGCCTTATTGCTAATGGAGAATGGACGATTGCAGGATGCTAGCAGGCTCAGCCGCAGGGGAAGCCTCTCAGTATTAGAGCAAGAATGGAAACAATCCAAACAAGTAGAAAGAAAAATGGGAAATTTAGAAACTCTGACAGTTCAACAGAAAGCAGGAAAGAAATCAAAAGAAGCCAAGAAACGTTCTTGTAAAGAAAATGCCCAAGTGAGATGGAACATGGAATTCCAACCAAGTGTGACTGCAGTCAGTGTGAATGTGGAGCCAGTGTGCAGCTTGACCCATAGATGAAAACAGAGCTTGCCAGACGGGAGACACAGAACAGAACTCGGCCGTGTGCCATTTACAAGCAGAGCCCAGGCCGGTGCTGTGGAATAGTGGGTAAAGCCACTGCCTATGAAGCTGGCATCCCACATGGGCATGGGTTTGAGTCCTGGCCGTTCTACTTCCGACCCAGCTCCCTGCTAATGCAGAAGATGGCCCAAGTCCTTGGGCCCCTGTACCCATGTTGAGACCTGGAAGAAGCTCCTGGCTCCTGGCTTCGGCCTGGCCCAGCCTTGGTGTTAGTGGCCATTTGGGGAGTGAACCAGTGAATGGACGATCACTCTCTCTCTCTCGCTTTCCCTCCCTCCCTCTCTCTATCTTTCCTTCCCTCTCTCTCTCACTTTGCCTTTCAAATAAATAAATAACTCCTCAAAACAAAAGCAGAACCCACTGAATTTTTTTGGCTGTAGATGATTTGATTTAAGAAAAGGATTTATTTCTACAGAATATAGAACATTGAAACAAAATCACAATATTAAAAAGAAAAACCCAAACCCACAATGAAATTTCCTATTTCACTCTTGTAATAAACTCTCTTTCGTGGATCTTGGGTTAGCAGGTCTATTGCCTAGAAAGAGTCCTGGAAATCTTGACTTAGTCCACTGCTGCGGTCTGAGAGTTAGTGAAGAGATGCCGGCCCCGAGGCCCACATCCCAGGTCGACGCAGTGGTGCAGAGGGTTAAGCCACTTGCCACACAAGGATCCCATGTCAGAGCATCGGTTTGGGTCTTGGCTGCTTGGCTTTTAATCCAACTTCCTGCTGATGTACCTGGGAAAGCAGTGGAGGATGGCCTAAGTACCTGGGCCCCTGTCATTCATGTGGGAGACCAGGATGGAGTTCGGGCTCTTGCTTCCAGTCTGGCCCTGTCCAGCTGTTGTGGCCATTTGGGGAGCAGATGCAGGTCTAAGTTAAAAAAAAAAAGTGACTCATATCCGCGTGTCTGTGCAGGACCGGATACAGTCCCTGCCTAGAAGGCTCTGAGAGCGCCCTTGGTTGGAGACTCCAGTCTGGCTGAGAGCTTGTGGAAGAGCCTTGATGGGAGCACTGGAGGAAAACGGAATCCATGTGTAGGTGACAGGACGCAAGGGGATGTGGTTAACTTATAAGGAAACTGAATGGTCAAGGGAGAGGTGCATATGTGTAAGGAACCGGCAGGGACGCTTGGCTGCTTCTGAGGCCGAGCGAAGACAACAGAGCCGCTCCAAAGGAGCTGCCCCCTTTCCAGTGGGAAATCGGCTCAGGAGAATGATTAAGCTGCGTTCCAAGGGATTTGATTGATGAGAACGGAGGAAGCAACATGGAGATGTGATGACCACCAGACACAGTACCCCAAGAGTCGGAAGGCAAGGGGTTCGGGAGCAGGACCTCAGCATCCTTATGTTTAAGCCCCACAGTAAGTCTGAGGTGCATCCCCATTTGAAACCCACCAGCCTAGAAGATGTTAGGTTCAAATTAAAGATAACGAGGCTGTGGCCAGGCCAGGGTAACAACAACAACAAGATAGATTTATTGATTTTTGTATTTGAAAGGCAGAGCATCAGGGAGAGCGGGACAGACAGATTTTCCATCCACTGTTTCATTCCCTACAACAGCCAGGGCTGGGCCAAGCTGAAACTCCATCTGGGTCTCCCACATGGGAGGCAGGGGCTCCAACTTGGGCCATCATCTTCTGCCTCCCCAGGCACATCGGCAGGAAGATGGATGGGAAGTGAAGCAGATGGGACTCAAACTGGCGCTCCTCAGTGGGATCTGGCATCACAAGCAGCAGCTTCGTCTGCTGCGCCACAGTGCCGGCTCCTGGACAGCATTTTAATAATCATTGGAGGCCGGCGCCGTGGCTCAATAGGCTAATCCTCCACCTCATGGAGCCGGCACACCGGGTTCTAGTCCCGCTCGGGGCGCCAGATTCTGTCCCGGTTGCCCCTCTTCCAGGCCAGCTCTCTGCTATGGTCCAGGAGTACAGTGGAGGATGGCCCAAGTGCTTGGGCCCTGTACCCCATGGGACACCAGGAGAAGCACCTGGCTCCTGCCTTCAGATCAGCGCAGTGTGCCGGCCACAGTGTGCCAGCCGCGGCGGCCATTGGAGGGTGTACCAACGGCAAAGGAAGACCTTTCTCTCTGTCTCTCTCTCTCTCTCTCACTATCCACTCTGCCTGTCCAAAAAAAAATTATTGGCGTTAGCACTACACTGTTGTCTAATGTCATCAGGCAAAGTATGACCCAGACTCTGATAAATGTGGAGACACAGCAAAGCTGTTTCGTCAGAGTTTTGATCAGGCAGGAACACGTCATGGGTAGCCAGGGCACTGACACATCTTTAGTGATTTCCTGCAAAGTATACAATTTCTGAAATACTTTTATCAACAGGATTTTATCCATAAGACTTTTGCCTAGGGAACGCTGGGCCTCTCGCAGTTTGACAGATGTCTCATACAGCTACAAAGTAACACTAACTGAAGAAACCCAGCACTCCTCTTGCCTGTGCTTTTCCAGGGGCCCACCGGAAAATCCCAAAGATTCCTCTAGTGTAAAAGACAACTTGCTTTTACACATACTTAAAAATGATTAAAACTGTAAGACTTAGGTTCCAAATATTTTGCCACAATAAAAAAGGTTTAAGATTAATTAAAAACAAAGCAAAAAAAAAAATCCTGATTTTTTTTCTTTAAGATTTATTGATTTATTTGAAAGGGAGGGGGAGAGAGATCAATCTTACATTCACTGGTTCATTCCCTAAATGGTCACAACAGCTGGGGCCAGAAGCCAGGAGCCAATAATTCTGTCTGGGTCTCTGGCATGAGTGGCAGGGGCTTGGGCCGTCCTCAGTTGCCTTCCCTGGCACATTAGCAGGGAGCTGGATGGGAGGCAGAGCAGCTGGGACTTGAACTGGCGCTCCAGCACGGGATGCCGGCATCCCAGGAAGCAGCTTAACCTGCTGTGCCACAACAGGCGACTCATGTTTTTAATTTTTCTAAATTCGATATCTGACTTTTTTTTTTGGAAGGACAAGAATAAGAAATGAATCTTGCCAGGGGTGTTTGGATACTCCATGAAGCCAGGCTCCTGGGTGCCTTGGAAACAATTCTTTGTTACCTATGTAATTGAACTCACAAGAAAGTATTTAAAAATAAGCATACAAAATAACATGATTAAAAAGAACCTTTGCTCTTTTGTCAGCAAAGAACTTGGGTGCTTGTCTCCCTTTAGTAGCTGAGGGTGTAAACAGGAAATGACTCCCCTCGGGCTCTAAAGCCTGCTCAGCGGGCACTTTGCACAGTGATCCCGAAGGTGTTCCGCAGTAAACCCAGGAAACGGGCGCTCCGTCCAGACCCAGGCTTCGTACAAGAAGGCAGGTGCGGCTCCCTCTCCCACTCCTGGGCTCCTTCCCGCTCTGCCACATTTCACAGCAAGCTGGCGTTTTCCCTCTAGAACAGATCTCAGGGGTTGCAAGATCAAAACTCATCACGTGGTAATCCTGAGGTGTGATTACGCGTGTTAACATGCAACGCATTCAGCCCTTGTAGCTCCAGAGCAATCACTACGTTTTTAAAAATTCAGCTTCTGCTTTTTAATACGGTCAATATTCATGGTCGTAACCCACATAAAAACGTTCAAAGGGTCCTCAATAAGTTCTAATAAAAGGGGTCAGAAACTAACAAACCATTCAAGAACTGCTTTAAGACAAAATAACTCTTTTTTTCTTAGAAAACAAAACCACACAGACAACCGTACTTTTTGTCACTATTGTTCCTAGTTTCGCCTTAACATTTCATATTTATCACACTTTTAACAGAGCCTCAAAGATACAAGCTTTCTGTGGCATATAAAGACAAGAGGCAGAAGTATATAAAAATACAGGGTGGGTCGTAAACAGTGTCTGGCATTCCGTCTTACTCAGTTATGGAGACCAGAAAGTCAGGCCGAGTAGCTGAAGTAAAAAGCAGATGCGCTGCGTTGGGTACCTAAGTGATTGAGGGATTGAGCACTTTGAGGCCTGGTTGAATGGAGGCGCCCGCGTCAGGTTACAGGTACCCATCTCCGGGCGGCCCTGGGCTTCAGCAGGTGGTCGTCTTGTGCTGTGAAGACGTCCCCTGGCTGCTCTTAGAGTCTCAGTGCCCGGAGACTTTGAGACGCACGCTCTCCGTCGGTCTCTGATGATCCTCCCTAGAAAGTTCCTGAGCTGAAGCCCATCTCTGGCCAATCGCTGGTCCCGAGGGTATGCACTCCTCTAAACGCTCAGCCTGGACCGCCTGTGCCGCCCCCCCCCCCCCGCCCGGTGTGTGAGGGGGTGGGGCTCCAGGACCACCGCACCCACCCTGTCCTTGGAACGGAGCAGGTGCTCCCTGCACCACGCGTGATGCTGAGCATTTTCATGAGAAGGCTGCGTGGCTGAGTGGAGAGGACGCCAGATGGGCACTCACAGACCCGTGGTTGAGCTCTGGCTCTGCGTCCTCTGGGTGACCTTGGGGAAGCCTTTTCCCTTCCTCAGGCACCGTGGCTTGGGTTAGGTGATTCCAGACCTAAATGCCCATGACTGCATTTCTTTCATTCAGAAAGAATCAAGGTTCCTTCTGTCCTGGGACTCAACACGAGATGGAGAAGTATGTTCTGGCCGTCTTAGTCAACAGACTGCAGCCGTCAACAACAGGAACGCGTTCAAGCTCAGGGGGAGAACAGAGCCAGGAGAAGTGTACATGGAAATCCAGAGTGTCTCTCGGAACCCAGGGGAGGAGTGGCCTCCTGAGAGCTGAGGACCAGGAAGTGGACGCCACCAGCAGCCATTACCTACCCCCACCCCCTCTGTCTCCCTCTCTTTGGCTGGAGCAGTTTCTCATTTGTCCTGTATTTTGCACAGCAGTTCCCTCTTCTTTTTAAAGATAGTTAGTTAGTTAGTTAGTTAGTTGTTAGTTTACTTGAAAGGGAGGTGGGGAGAGAAACATCCTTCATCCACTGTTTGACTCCGCAAATTTCCGCACCAATCAGGGCTGGGCCAGGCCAAGGCTGGGGACCTGCAGCTCCACAGGTGGGGCAGGGACCCGAGGACCTGACGCTTGCCAGGGCGAGCGTGAGCAGGAGGCTGCAGTCGGGAGCAGAGCTGGGGTTCAGATCCAGGCGCTCTGCTACAGGACGCGGGCAGCTGACGGGGCGTCGTAGCTGCTGTGCCACTTCCCACCCTCCTCCTCCTCTTTAAACGGGTGCTTTCTCTGCTGCTCGAGGGGTGTGTGCCAGAATGTGCATGACGGCAGCTTCTGTTCCTCAGTTTCATCTCTGGATCCCAGCTCCAACCTGATTGGCTCACCTCAGGTCAGGTGCTCATTCAGGGCCCTGGGGGTAGGGAGGAAGGGGTGGCGGCCATCAATCACACATGGCCGCTTGATACAGATGCACATGTTCTCAAGGGGAGGGAGGACTGCACTGGCGGGGCACGCAACAGGTATTTAGTTCAACAGGTGGGGTCATTTTCCTGTAGGTAAAAGTGTAAGGTATTACCATAAAGAAAAAAGAACTTTCCAATAAGAAGGCCTTTAGACAGACAAATGACTTTATGGAAGGGAGTGGATTCATAGAATATAGGGAGCTGAACATGAGTCATAATAACCCTCTTTACAAAGCAAAGTGGAGGAAAAAAAAACCACAGCAGTAGCCAAAAGCAGAACACGTTCACGGTGCTAGGGTCTTGCATGATCTATGTATTCTTGGCAGTGAGGACACTGAGAGATCTATATATGGATTTGGTGGTATTTCTCTCCTGAACTCAGTTAGAACAGCCAGATGGACCAATTCCCAAAAGTGGCTCCCAAGTCAATATGTTCTGATTTTATCTTAGATGAAAGGCCACCTGATGGATGCCCAGGCAGAATCACACACAGACTGACGTGGACATTCTCATCTCTTGTCATAGCTCTGCTAAAGAAGATGCTCCTTGACTTATAACGGGGTTATCTCCTGAGGTGCCCAGGGCGTATTGAATAGAGGGTAACTGAAAGATGCATTTAAACCTCTAATTCAACAGCCCAGCCTAGGCACACAGCTCACTAGTAGTCCTGGAAGCTTCCCTGGCCAGAGAGGATCACCTTGCCTGGCCAGCTAGCCCAGGAAAAGGTCCAAGTTCAGAATCCGAAGTACAGTTTCTACTGAAATGTGTATCGCCTTTGCACCATTGAGAATTGTCTGTCTGTATGTATATTCTCTTGTATATTTAAATCTAGGAATACTGCTTGATTTTACAGGTCTCCGATAACTACATAGTTCGTCCTTCCTCGGAAGTTCCTTGCTGGGGCAGGTGTTAGGCATGGTGGTTAACACTCCTCTTGGGATGCTTGCATGCGATATCAGAGTGCCTGGTGTGAGTGCTGTTCTGCATCCAATTCCAGCTTCCATCTGCTGATTCACTCCTCAAATGCCCGCTAAAGCAGGGGTGAGGCCAGGCCACAGCCGGGAGCCAGGAACTCAATTCTCAATTCTCAATGGTGCAAAGGCGATACACATTTCAGTAGAAACTGTACTTCGGATTCTGAACTTGGACCTTTTCCTGGGCTAGCTGGCCAGGCAAGGTGATCCTCTCTGGCCAGGGAAGCTTCCAGGACTACTAGTGAGCTGTGTGCCTAGGCTGGGCTGTTGAATTAGAGGTGCCAGGGGCCCAAGTACTAGAGCCATCACCTGCTGCCTCCCATATGTGCAGCTGAAGCAGGGGAGCTGGGACTCGAACCAGGCACTCTGATAGGGGCTGCAGGTTGTGCCAAGTAGCGACTTCACCCCTGCACAGATGCCCGCCCCGGAGTCCATGCTTTTAGTTCTTTTGGGTGTACACCCAGGAGTGGACTTCCTGGGTCGGGTGGTAATCCTCTGTTTAACTCATCGAGGGACTGCCACGCTGTCTCCTACAGCAGCTGCGCCGTTCTACATTTCCAACAGCAGCAGACAAGGGTTATTTTCTGTTTGTTTCTTTTTAAAGTTTAGCCATTCTAGTGTCCGTGAAGAGCTGTCTCCCGTGGCTTTGAGTCGCAGGTTCTCAGCTTTGCTGTGGCACAGAAAAGGCTGCTCCCCGAGGTGTGGATCGCAATCAGTGGCTCGGTACTCAAGGCCAAGGGCGTCATTACCTGTTGACAAATCTCTCTTTACAAACAGAGTCTTGTTTATCTGCTCAGTCGACGTGGGAAAGAAGAGCTATTTTTGGCTCTGGGAGGTCAGAACATCAGAACACAGGAGTGCCTTCTAGAGGCTGGAGGCCAGCAGGTGCGCGCCTCCCTCGGGAAGCAGCCTGCGCGCCCGGCACCGCGGTGGAAACAGGGATCAGCTGCTGTGCTCATCGCCCTTTTCGTTTTTCATAAAATGAGGTTTCATGGCAGAAACCTCTTGAGGCAGATGGGTGCCTGCTTCCCAGAGGTGTCTGGTGGGTTCCTGTGAGACCGGGGCTGTAACTAAAGTGCGGGGCGCCCTCCGCTCCAGACGCAGATGCGACCACAGTGGTTCTTTATTGGCCATCGGCTGTGATTTTGGACTCAGGGCGGCAGCACGGCTCTCTAGGGTTCAGATCCGAGCTCTGTCACTCACCAGCTGTGAGCTCCAACCTCTGAGAACACCAATTTTTTTCCATAGCTATAAAGGTGCAAATTATAATGCCCATTTCTTAGGGTTGTTTCCAGGATGTGCTAAGATAACTTGGTTAACAGCTTCCTAGACAAAGTCAGTACACATCAGCTCCCTTCGCCTTCACTGAAAAGCAGGATTGTCACAGATACTATTCCTGCGACTTCGTTGATGGAACACAGGCTCCACAGTGGCCTTGGGGGTGTATTCCCCATTCACAGCCATTTCTAATCCCCTGGGGATTGCATTTTGACCCAGGGTGACAGAATCCCAGCACAGGCCAATGACTCTCAGGCCACCACTGAGGGACAGGGATTTGGAAATGAGGCAGGAGAGAAGGTTAGCATCTGCATGTGGCTACAGCTGTGTCACACAGTTAGGGCATGGATGCCACTGCATTCTGGCACAGGGATGGAGAAGTGGAGAAAACGGGTTCTCAGCGGAGAAGAGGGAAGCAGATGTGCAGTGAGAAGCAGCGCAAGGAGCTGAGAGAAGACCCAGTGGCTCTCCAGTTCCTGGTTCTGGCCCACACTTTTCTGCTTGGATTTCCTGGGACGCCCGCCTGCACGTTACAGTGGATTCCCTCACGTTGCTTCTCAGAGTTTGGTGGACAGATTTTCAGACACTACAAACTCAAGCAGGCAAGCAATTGAATGGTATTTTCCTGTAACACAATTCAAGGTCTCTTTGGAGGCCTCATTCCACCTGCTGGCAGAAAAACAATCAAATAAGCTCCGAATAAACTCGGTCAGGGCAGCGTTTCGGGTGTCTCCCAATGTAGGCTATTCTCACACATTTCCTTTCTCTTTAGTGGGCGTCCCTTGGCTTGCACAGGGAGATGCTGGGTGCGCACCCCCCCTGCAGAAAGGTGTCACCGAGATGTGAGGGGTGCCCTCTCACCCTGGGCCATCTTGTCCTCATGACCCCCTGCCCCCGTCTTAACCTGAGAAACAACCTCTCAAGGCCTTTGGCCACTGTCATTCTTGTGACACATGTAAGAACTCACCAGCATCTAAATCATGTTTTTTCCTTAATGTTTAAATAAAGTCTGGGCAATCTTTAATCTTCTATTTATTTATTTGAGAGAGTTACAGAGAGAGGTAGAGACAGAGAGAGAGAGAGGTCTTCCATCTGCTGGTTCACTCCCCAGATGGCTGCAACGGCCAGAGCTGCGCCAATCCGAAACCAGGAGCCAGGAGCTTCCTCTGGGTTTCCCATGTGGGTGCAGGGGCCCAAGGATTTGGACCATCTTATACTGCTATCCCAGGCCATAGCAGAGAGCTGTATTGGAAGAGGAGCAGCTGTGACTAGAACCGGTGCCCATATGGGATGCCAGTGCTTCAGGCCAGGGCTTTAACCTGCTGAGCCACAGTGCCGGCCCCTAGGTAATCTTTAATCTGCAGGAAGTAGTCATCCTGCTAATTTGTGCTGACAACATAAACTTTGTGCTTTGACATATTCAGTCAATGGAACCAGTCAAGCCTTTTCCCCACCGAGCCATGTACCCATTGGCTGGGAGGTCAGCACAGGCCCCTCCATCCAACTCCCAGCCAATCCTAAACTCTTCTGGCAAAAGACCCTTCTTGGCTCTATTAGGGACTCCCCCACCCTGCAGGCGCGCCCAGTGCAGCCCCATACCACTGACAGACGACCTTCCCCGGCAGGCCGCAGAGAGCAGCGCCGCCATCCTGATTATGCTGTGTGCAAGAGATGCCACAGCACGCGCACAGAGCGCTGAGCTGGGTACAAACCCGAGGGGGATGAGGAAGAGACCGAGGGGGCGTGGCCACATCTCCCCAACCCACGCCCCAGTCAGGGGCACCTCTCTTGGCCATGTTGTCCCCGTTGAGCTCAAGCTTAAGTCCCCCGTTACCCTTGTCTGGTTGAAGTTTGGCAGCTCCTCAATTTCTGTTATGACTGTGTCATAGAACGTAGAGGCAGTAATAACAGGTGCAAGCTTTTGAAACTTAAAATTCCTCTTTCATAAATCGGAGTTGAAAGTGTTGCATTTTAAAACTATTGGTTTTACTACCAATTTTAAGAACCCAGCATGGGACTATTTTGAGTCTTAAGAGCCCAGCTCAGAACTCACATCCGTTCGGCAGAGCTGTAGCGTGTCTGCCTTCACCGTGGAGGGCCGTGGGGTAACTTCTAGGAGAGGCACATCCTTGCTGTTTCATCATCGTGCATGGGTTTGGTGGACTGATTGATTACTGTGAGCTGAGAACCCCAGTCTCTCAAGAGCGCTTTTTCATTATTGAGCCCTGCCTGCCTCCCTCTCACAGTTCCCAGTATTTTCCCTCTCTAAAGTTCCATCTGCACTCCCCAGTCATTGTGTCAGGTGGGGCGTGGATGTGGGAAGGCAGGGGGAAAGGCTGTGCTGAAGTGAGACAAGTGAAACCATACGCTCACTCTTCTGAGGCCAGAGCACTCCCAGGAGGGAAGGGGAGTGCCACCAGCTCCGTCTGTCAGTCCGTCCATCACACTTCTCACTCCTCAGCCTTGGTTTCAGAGCGTCTTTATACACAGGCCTGTGGAGGGGTTTGCATCCTTTTTTGCATCGTGTTGATCCGAAGCCAGGAGCCAGGTGCTTCTCCTGGTCTCCCATGCGGGTGCAGGGCCCAAGCACTTGGGCCATCCTCCACTGTACTCCCTGGCCACAGCAGAGAGCTGGCCTGGAAGAGGGGCAACCGGGACAGAATCCGGTGCCCTGACTGGGACTAGAACCCGGTGTG